ATAGACTCAACACTGATACCCATAGACTCAACACTGATACCCAGACTCAATACTCACCATAGACTCAACACTGATACCCATAGACTCAACACTGATACCCATAGACTCAACACTGATAACCATAGACTCAACACTGACACCCATAGACTCAACACTGATACCCATAGACTCAACACTGATACCCATGGACTCAACACTGATACTCATAGACTCAACACTGATACCCATAGACTCAATACTCACCATAGACTCAACACTGATACCCATGGACTCAACACTGATACCCATAGACTCAATACTCACCATAGACTCAACACTGATACCTATAGACTCAACACTGATAACCATAGACTCAACACTGACACCCATAGACTCAACACTGATACCCATAGACTCAACACTGATACCCAGACTCAATACTCACCATAGACTCAACACTGATACCCATAGACTCAACACTGCCCCTGTACACAAAGCGGTCCCCCCTCTCCTTAGCCTCCTTCCGCCCTCCAAGCCTCACCTCTTATCCATCGCCCATTCTGTTCCTTCCCCTCTACCCTCCACTCCTTCTTATCCCCCCCGACCCTTCCGTGATCCCCTGCGTACCCACTCTACCCGAGTGACCCTCTATCATGGTCACTCATTCCTCAATACCCTGTACTGCACGCCCCCTGCCAGCAACATCATCCCGTTCTGTCTCACCGAAGCTATGGCAAGCACCTTGAGTGAAGAGGCTCTAAATTTTGATTTCAAGCTTTCGTGACTGCAGGGATTCATATTCTTGGTTCTTTCGGGAAAGTCACCACGTAGAAGGGAAACAATAAAATAAGAAAAAATATAAAGCAATAAAATTCTCACGACGTTTCGACCGCAACACAAGCAATCATCATCAGGTGTGAAAACCACAACAAGAAAATATTATTTTTATTATCATTTTATTTTTTCCCTTCTACGTGACTTTACCGAAAGAACCAAGAATATGAAGAGGCTCTGTATATATAAATACAGTACTAGCTTTACTTCCCGGCTTCGCTCGGGACTTTGAATTCTTCTCTTGGTTTTTATTTTTCGATTTAAAGCTTTCGTGACTGCAATGATTCATCTTCTTTGGTTCTTTCGGTAAAGTCACGTAGAATGAGAATAAAATAATAAATTGATAAAATAAAATAACACAATAATATTCTCACGACGTTTCGGCCACAACACAAGCGGCCTTCATCAGGTGAAGGGAGCGAGACTGTCTGGTAGGACAGCGCTGACGTCACGCACCCACCAACCGCGGCCTACGCGGTTGGTGGGTGCGTGACGTCAGCAGGCACACTGCGTGACGCTGCCGCGTGCGGGTGACATCACAGATGTGACGTCACCGCTCACTTGCCGTGCAAAATATATCCATTATTGCGCCCCCCCCCCACCCCCCCAAAAATAAAAGTCTATTTTTATACTTTTTGCTTTGTGTACAGTCTGGAAGCTACCCACATGCCAAATTTCAAGTTTTTTGCATGTCGGGAAGTATGCTAAACATTCACAAATTTCCTTTTTTTTCTATTAGGAATGAACATTTCCCCAAACTTATATATATATTTTACCAGGTAAGGCACACTGAGCTATGTATAGCTCTTTTTGCAGAAACGACCTGCCCACAAATGATAGCCCAGCGAATTGGCTCATCACGTGGCCACATCGACAGCCACAACCTAAAACGCTGTGGCGTTTCCTAAACGTGGAGACAAAGAGCGGAGGCCCCCAGAGAAAAATCCACGCGACCACAGGAAGAGAGATTAGACGGAAACTCCAAATACACAGCAGCAGCAGCAGCGGCAGGCGTCGGGGTTGCGATCGATCGAACCCACGACCTCCTGCAGACCGGGCGAGGTGGTTAACATCTCGTCAACGTGGCGCCCCGGTATTATGGGGTGCTACAATTGTTTTTTTTTTTGAACACTTCTGAGAAATTTTAAACAATACCGCGAGAAATGTCCGCCTGGAGGAGATTCCAGGCGCGTGTTTGACAATGACGGCGAGCAAGCGGCGACTGACTTTTTGAAGCCATTCATATTACATTTGTTATGATGTTACAGTGTATTATCCCTTGTTTTTTCCATTCAAAACGATAGCCCCCGTGTAAGTGTTAACACTTTTTTGAAGTACCCTGTATTAGCGATGCACGGAGGCGTGGTGGTGCAGTGGTTAGCGCACCGCACTACAAACCTGGTGACCCGAGTTCCGTTCCCGCTCACGACCCTAATAGCAGTGGAGAATATTAGACAGCCTCATCCGAGTACCTGGTGCAGTGTGTCACAACAATCAGCAGCAGTGGGGTCGGTGTAAATACAGACGTACCTCCCTCACGCGCTCAGGATGCGTTCATAGTTGTATGTTGAACTTCTTTCGCACCGTACGTAGCCAACCGTGCTAATAGATTGTGCTGCAGATGATGATGCTGTTGCGGCTGTCTTTGTCGCTGCTGCTGCTGCTGTGTTTTCCTACTGCTGCTGCCCATGAGGATTCTGTTGCTGCTAATGATGATGTTTGTCTTTTAAGGCCTTGCCGTCAATGTCAATATCAGCATCTTCATCAGCAGCATCGGGCCCATAGATGAGACCAACATGGTGAGTGATGGCCGAGTTCCTAACGGAGGTCCTAACAGCGCTCCGAGTGACGCGAGTGGCCGGGCAGCATAAGAGTCCACTTGCATCGCCTGGGGCTTGCTCAACACGGCCCGTGTCTCACACACAGAGACCCTCCACTCAGAATACAAACTAACGTAGAGGCTCAGAGATACATAGACTCGCAGAAATACTCATCGGAGATACGTATGTAGAGCTTATTTCTCACCATGCGTAGCCAACCATGCTAATTGGAAATACAGACACTCAGAGATTCACAGAGACTGGGTGAAACGTGGGGTAAGCTTTGCCCAAATCTTAGCCTGCTGGCTTAACAACGTAATAACTAAAGTAACAGAGACTCAGACTCCAAGACACATAGACTTGCAGAAAAGTGGGCTAAGTGTTGCCCGATCCTGGCGAGCTGGCTCAACAAACTTAAGAAACTAACTAACAAGCGGTGGCGTATTTGCTGCTTGTTGCAAGGGCTCACAATTGCAGTCCACAGCCACACTGCTGGATAATACACGGTGGCTAGGAGACGTCTAATAACTCGCCTGGTATACAGGAGGTGGTGGGTTCGTTGTCTTTTTAAACAATAAAGCGTGTTTTCTTACACACTCAAGTGAGTTAAAGCAGCTGACATGCTGCGGCTGAGTTTATCATTTCGGAAACATTTTTTTAAAAATACATAGGGGAAAGGTGGTAAGGGATACAACTAATTGCCAACAGGGAAGGAATGGGAAGGGGGGGTGGGTCTAATAGTGCTGCTCTATACAATAAATACAAACATCGCTCATCTTGGCGGTAATGGTCGAGGCGAAAACAGAATATATGCAGCATCAGGGCAGTCCATGCGCTCGTGATTGATGTTATGTGAACCCCTTATCAGTTCCCTACCTTATAACAGACCAATTCAGACCTCACTGGTCACCCCGTGTCCCTTATAAACCTCAACGTTCATCCTACAAAATCCCATCACAAGGGAGAAACACAATTCGACCAAAATAATGTTTTGCCCATAATGAAACGGCTGTACGCCGTATGGACCTGAAAACTCAATTCCCGGGTACAAGAATACGGGGTGAACCGTATGGGTTGACAGCTGTGTGTGTGTGCCTAAGGCATAACACGTACGAGCACACGACACAACTATCGAGGCAATGTGGGGGGCCATTGAAAAGTTACCGCTGATGACCACACCCAAATTTTCATCACCGCCTCTCGATAAATTGAAGGGGAGGTGGATCAGGGGTACTGGTTGATGCCACAGCTGTCGTGTCTACCCTTTGGCCTGGAAATCAGTTCTGTGGACTTTTCTTGATTGAGCATTGGGGTTATTACAAGTGGCCAACTTCTAAATGTGGCCGATTTCTTCGGCCGTTTGATGCTGAATTGGATTCTGGAACAATTAAATAGGTGTCGTCTGCGAAGTTAACTAGTACATTTCCAGTGGTACCCAATTGTAGGTCGATGGCAGTGATGATAAAGCCTGCAGGGCCAAGCGCTGACCCCTGGATTACACTGGCATCGATCGTAGCATTCTGCAGAAGTCTCATTCAAAAACTTGGTCCAATCTCTCTCTCTCTCTCTAGCGCATGGCAAGTGTGCGAAAATCACACGTCCAAGTTTAAGTCTCTGGAGCCATGCGATAGCTTCAGGAGTAGCACGTCTAATACTGCTGCTCAGTCCACCGGAGAGCAGGCGCAGGATGCAGTTGCTTGCAATATGGAACCATTGTCTGGTTTGGGTGGCCGCAGTCACACTGTGGGCTATCTCTAATTCTCCACTTGTGGAGGCGAGCGCAGCAACCTGTTGCGGTTCTGGAACGGTTGATGGAGCACCATAGTTTTCCTGGCAGGTCAATGCCGTGCATAGCAATCGTGGGGTCGCCAATGAGGCTGTTATTTGGAATGTCCACAGAACTGCAGCGGTCTTCAATGAGAACAGCTATTGAGAAACGAGACTGTCCGGTTATAGAGGTTGTCCGAAACGTTCACGAGCAAGAGTTTACATCATTGGAATCTCCTTTGCGATTACCAAAATATGATCATTGGTTTTTTACCCTTTTATCTGGCAACAAACGGACACCTTTTTTTTGCAAGGAATCATGACTCCTTGTAAAAAGTAAGAGTTTCTCAAGTAAACGAGCGTGACGGACAGTGTCAAAGGCTTTGTTGAAGTCCAGGCGGAAGACGTGAGCATACTTGTTTGTGGCGAGCATGACAGCAATGGTGTAGAGTATGTTGAGGAGTGCAGCAGTGGTGGAGCCTGAATGGCAGAAGGCAAATTGATCGGGAGAAAGTCAAGGATGGTGGCGGGTTGCACAGAATGGGATGGATTAATGTTCCCACAACAATCCCTGCAAGCGTCCTGGATAAAACAGAAGGGATGGATGAGCGTCTGAAGTCAGAAACGTCTGACAGGGGTGGAGATCTTAGGTATAGGATGGATGGAGGCTCGCTTCCACGGCTTGGGAACAGTCGAAGAGCAGATAGACAAATTAAATAGCTGGGCATTTGGAACATGAAGTGGGTGGCATTCGTAGATGATGATGATGTAGATCGTGGTGGCTTGCCCGCTTAGAAACACGGAGCTGTAACAGTATGATCAGTCGTGTCACCAATGGGCACTGAGCGGACAGCAGGAGGCTCAACTTGGACTCGGGGGGCCGATTTGATGTGGCCTGACCTACAGTGCAGGTACGGTGGATGCCTTAAGATTGCATGGAGCTCTGCAGACTTGTGAGAGATAGGTGGGACTTGAGATGGGAAGCCGGGCAGAGAGCCAGTTAAAAAGAGAATGAGAGCATCGTATTCCATTCTTGAGGATGACGAGGATGTTTCTGCAGTAATGTTAGTGCAATGATGACTTGACGCACTTCTCTTGAGATGCCACTTTATTGAAGACGCGTTCACTTGACATCAGGCGGAGACCTTCACTGCAACAGCCCCGAGTCTCCCGCGCATCTCCCGCTTGTATACCAACCGAGGGCACACCGCTCTTCCTGAACCTTCTCGCGGACTTCTCGCCACTGGCAGACTCCACCGTCCTCTTCCGTCACCTGACCACGCTCCCTTCTCGAACATTCCCGTAGCCACCAGTCCCTTCACACTCACAGCTGACTCCCCTGTCATTACCTCCCGTGGCCACCAGTCCCTTTACACTCACAGCTGACTCCCCTGTCGTTGCCTCCCATAGCCACCAGTCCCTTCACACTCACAGCTCACTCCCCTGTCATTACCTCCCGTGGCCACCAGTCCCTTCACACTCACAGCTGACTCCCCTGTCATTACCTCCCGTGGCCACCAGTCCCTTCACACTCACAACTGACTACCCTGTCATTACATACCGTAGCCACCAGTTCCTTCACACTCACAACTGACTCCCCTGTCATTACCTACCGTGGCCACCAGTCCCTTCACACTCACAACTGATACCCCTGTCGATACCTCCCGTGGCCACCAGTCCCTTCACACTCACAACTGATACCCCTGTCATTACCTCCCGTGGCCATCAGTCTCTTCACACTCACAGCTGACTCCGCTGTCACTACCTCCCGTGGCCACCAGTCCCTTCACACTCACAGCTTACTCCGCTGTCATTACCTCTCGTGGCCACTAGTCTACTCACACCGCATGCAGACTCTATTGTCATTACATCAACATAAGTAGGGGAGGGCGGCCTCCGAGGCAGACCAGGAAATGGTTGCAGCGTCAGGCGGTGGTGATAGCACCAGCAGCAGTGTAGCCCAGCCAACAGCAGGACAGCCACCGGTGAATGGCAGGTCCGTGGCCAAGGCTCCAACGAAACTGCGGCGTCAAGCAGGGGCCCAGACACCACAGAGCGGAGGCTCCGAGGCAGACTCACAGCAGGGTAGCAGCTAGACTCTGGCAGCACACCAAGGGTCGCACAACCGCAGTAAGCTCGCAGTACTCCAGCAGCCGATAAGCTAAACCCCCAACTGCTACGTGGTGCCATGCAGGCCAGGCGTGCAGCAGTGTGCCAACTTTGCTCCAGCAGTGCACCTGAAGGTCCCCTGTAGCACCCCAGCAGGACACCAGTGCCAGACAGCAGTACTCGCAATTGGTTGCACAAGTAGGGCACCAGCAGTACACCAGCAGTGCTCCCGCAGTGTCACCAGGAGCACACCTTGCAGGTGCTCCAGCCAGGTCACCGCAGCAGTGCACCCGGTGGTTAGATCAGCAGAGTGCCAGTAGTACGCCAGCAAACACCACCAGCGCACCCACAGTTCGCCTGCAGTTGTCTCCAGCAGGTCTCCTGCAGCACCCCAGCAGTGCGCAACTAGTGCACCTGCAGGTGCTCCAGCCAGGTCACCTCAGCGGTGCACCAGTAGCTCGTCAGCAGGGCACCAGCAGGTGACCAGCAGCAAACTGATGGCACCCAAGCAATGCACCAGCAGAGCACCGACAGAATGTGCAGTGCAGTGACTTCGGAGACGATAATTGCGGAGGCACCCTCGTTTGTCGAACGCACACGATCTCGACCGCACACACTCGTCACCCGCAGGGCCCACGTGCACGACACGGGGGCGTCGAGCATGGACGGCGCTGGCCGAGACGGTGGGCAGGCTATCCAGCAGCGCAAGGGTCGAGCGCAGACCGCAGCGACGTTGGCGACGAGAGACGACGGCAAGCGACGGGACGATCCGATCTCCAAACCGGCGGCCTCGACCTCCCGGCCCCTTTGAACGCTGCCGGGCGTGGCTCGGCTCAGCCCTGGCCGCGACTCCCTTCCGCAAACCCACCGGGGGCTTCCAAATGTGTTCCTCCGTGACGCTGGTCCCAGTTCCTCCGTTCTGCTGACACACACACACACACACACCGTGTATGCTGTCAACCACCCCCCCCCCCCCTTCCCCTCCAGGATTTCCGAGTGGATCTCATATTGTGGCAGCATTGGAGGGACTATCGGCTCGCGTTCAAACAGAACTTCACCACCATAGACCTGGACAACAGCATGAGCAAGTCCATCTGGATCCCCGACCTCCACTTTGTCAACGAGAAGACGGCGTTCGTGCACGACACCATTTCCCCCAACAGCATGCTGCGCCTATCGGAGGATGGAAGTGTACTCTACTCCATGAGGTTGTCCGCCTATCCTACAGCTACAACTCAGAGCTACGCATGCCCCGACAGTGAAGGCTTTGTACCGTTCGCCTTTTGGCCATGAAGGCTGTCTCTGGTGTAGGCCAATCAGTTGCAAGGGAATATGGCATATATTAGCGGAGCATCTTTGGTTGCATGTTCGCCACAATTGCGTGCGGTTAATGCGGAACTTGGATTCCTTGCAAGAAAAAAAGTATTTATTTGGTGGTTTATAGCTAGAAAGGGTAAAACGTCATCTAAAAAAGGGGAACTATGATCTTCCATACCCCTCACCCAGAACGAGGGCATTCAAGTACTAACAGCTTTTAAAATCTTGATTTAAAATCTAGGACAGCCTTCATACTTTTTTGGCATAAACAAGATAATTTTGAATTTTGATTTAAAGCTTTCGTGACTGCAGTAATTCATATTCTTAGCTCTTTCGGTAAAGTCACGTTGAAGGGAAACAATAAAATAATAGAATATATATAAAACAATAAAAATTCTCACGACGTTTCGACCTTTTGTGTTATGGTCGAAAGGTCGTGGAGAATTTTTATTGTTTTATATATATTCTATTATTTTATTGTTTCCCTTCAACGTGCCTTTACCGAAAGAGCTAAGACTATAGCTTTTAAAATTTCAAAAAATGTCCTCGCGGCGTTCAGTTCATGGCTCGGGGTGCTTTGATTAAGATAATAATGAAACACTGGGCACTGGAGCAAGTGTCCCGGACATAGTTTGAGGATGGCAATAACTAAACCCGCGAGAGGTTATGGTTTGCTGTAATACGATTGCAGAGGATATTTAATCCGTTCTCGCACACCCGCACAACACAAATAACACACCAACGTTCCACACCGACGTACACGCACATGGGGAACACACCGAGGAAGAGTCGGAAGTCAGGGGTCACCAACGCCACGCACGTACACGGCACGCCCGGGTAAGGAATAGAGATTGTGGGTGCGAGCGATAACGTGCACGACACGCAAACCTATTGGCGCGTGGACGACCGATCAGATGGATGTGGAGAAACGGATCGTAGAAAGAGTGGGGAATTGGAGAAAGGCAATTGGTGGAGAAGGGTGGAGAAGTTTAAAAAAAAGGGACTGTGAAACGAGGGAACGAGGTTGGTTTGATGACGAGGTGTTGCTGTGGTGTACGAGCGGTGACAGCAAGATCAAGTTCAAGTACACCAGTCCAAGTCTCCTCTTCACAACTGAAGGTAAATTACGAAGATCTGAACCCTAATGATGATTCTGTTCATCCAGGATATCGCTGACCCTCAGCTGCCCCATGAACCTGCAAGATTTCCCGATGGACACACAGGTGTGCCCGCTCTACATCTCCAGCAGTGAGTTCAATAACGATCATTGGCGCAGCATGCTATCGGGTGAGCTACTTGGTGTGCGATTTGGCGATGTATTGGGTGATCTGCCAGGTGAGCTATCAGTTGTGCGCTATCATGTGCACCACAAGTGTCGTCTCTCCATTCTGAAATTTCCATTTGGAGGATATCACACGTTTATAAAAAAAAACTCAATTGGGTCATAACATCTTAACTTATTAGAAGTGGGAGTTCCCACACGTTTACCACACGCAGAGTGCCGTTGGAGAGTGGGGGTAGAGTTGGGGGGGGAGTTTGAGTATCTTGTACTGTTGTGTCAACTGCCGCACTGGGAGACAGCACGGAACCGACGGGCCATGCATGTGATCCGTGTCCTCCCCGCGCTGTGTCCTGAAGGTGCATACACAAAGAGGGACCTGGTGTTCATGTGGGATGAGGATAGTGCGATGGTGCGCGATCCCTCCATCAGCCTGCCCCAGTACAGCTTCATGAACGTCACCTTGTCGCACTCCGAGCGGCATCTGCGGACAGGTCAGCGCCTTACTCTTTGGTTCTATTGGGTAAAGTCACGTAGGTGAAAATAAAATAACAAAAAATCACGACGTTTCGGCCACAACACAAAGCGGCCTTCATCAGGTGAAGGGACGAGACTGTCTGGAGGACAGCGCTGGAGTGGAAGAAGCCACGCTTAGATCACGACCTTTAAGCTGTGTGAGAAGAAAAAGACCACGCGCCTTGACACCTACGTTAAGCCCTTGGGTCTGCATTGTCTATCACTAATCTCATGTGTTTCTAATGGCCAAAGCAAAGACACTGGGACATCACTGCTGATGTTCAGGGGGCCAAGCCGTGGGTTGGTTTAAAAAAAGCACCATTTCAACCACACTAGGCCTGCAATGCAGAGATCCGAAGGTCCAAGCTCTAGTTCTGTGTTATTTTATCAAGGCCCAATGAGCTATATAAGCTTTTTTTTCACAAGCGGCCTGGCCACAAATGGCAGTTCAAAGAAGTGGCTTATCGTGTGGACATTTATAGTGGCCATATACGCTAAAGCGCATGTTGCTCCTAAAATGTGGAGAGAAAATCCACAGGACCCGGAGAAAAAGCCATACAACCATGGGGAGAGACATGCAAACTCCGAATATGTAGGCGTCAGGGTCAGGATTGAACCCCCGGCCTCCTGTATACCAAATGAGGTAGTGAATATCATCTCCCCACTGTGGTGCCTCAGTGGGTTCATCATGGCCATGTCAAAGAGATTAGGCCAGCACTGACATGCCCCGGGGTCTTCACGTCTCTTGAAGGAGGTTCACAATAGCCGTGTCTTGGTCACTAATTGTAAGTTGCTAGCGGTTAACAAAATAAAATAAAAAATTACAAGGGCAGTGCAAGGGCCCAAGAGTGAGTGGCTGTAAAAGAGGGCCACATGGCATCGCACATTTTCTGCAGGGGAGGGACGGGATGGAGTGGAGGGGCGAAGAAAGGAATGGACAATAAAGACGGAAGGAGGTCTAGGCGGATTTCTTAAATGTGCTGGTGCGGTGTTGAGCTTCATGGCGCAATGATTCCAGTGGTCGTGGTGCATCTGCCTCTTTCCGCTTGGGGGTGGTGGTGACCACAGGAAACTTCTCGATGCTCAAGGCGAACTTCAAGCTGCGCCGTCTCATGGGCTTCTACCTTACCCAGACGTACCTCCCCAGCGCCCTGCTGGTCCTCCTCTCCTGGATCTCCTTCTGGATCAACCCCGACGCGGCGCCGGCACGTGTCGCCCTGGGCATCACCACGGTCCTCACCCTCACCACCCAGAGCAGCGGGGCGCGGTCGTCGCTGCCCAAGGTGAGCCGAGGGACGGCGGCGGCGGCGGCGGCGGCGCAGCGTGATTGGCGCTGGTTGAGGCTTGAGGCGCCTCGCTAAGAGCCTGGCGAGCCGAGCGGGACGCAGTGAACGGAGCGACGGGGATGCATGAGCGTGCGCGGCGCTGCGAGCCGGGGACGCGATTTTTGGAGGCGCGGAGCCAGGGCTGCGTGCCAGATCGCGTCGTGAGGCGACGGTGAGATTCCGTTAGAAACGGTCGAGCTGAATGGTTTTTGAACGGTGAAAATGATTGATCGTTATTGGGTGTGAATAGCGATGGCATTCCAGGTGACGTGGGGGTGGGGGGGTGGGGGGGGGGGCTGCGACGGAGAAACAACGGGGAGCAATTAGAGTCCTTGCCCCGGGAGTTTCACGGAGGTTCTGCGTCGTTGAAGTGCAGGGCGTCGGCAGAAAACTTCGGTACGGTGGGTGGGCGGATTTTAGGCAGCAGTAGCAGAGGCACGTGATCTTGAAGGTGTTTCTGCTCGAAAATCGGTTTCCAATGAAGTGCACGCAGGATGGACAGGGAGTCCGGGCGAGTGTTGCAGTGGCCGTAGACAACTCGGGCAATTTCGATTGAAAGCTTTCGTGACTGCAAGGATTCATCCTCTTTGGTCCCTTCGGTAAAGTCGCCACCACGTGGAATGAGAATAAAATAACAAAATAACACGATAAAATTCTCACGACGTTTCGGCCACAACGCAAGCGGCCGCCTTCATTCTGCGTGACTTTACCGAAAGAACCAAAGAACTCGGGCAATGTGATTTGAGGGGTTGCAGCTTATTTTGGTTGCTTAGAGTGGAACGAGGACTGAGTTACAGGTCGAGCTGCAGGCGAGAGTTTTTGCGATGTTGGAGGTGATGAGCGGACGTAGGCGTGCTGGAGGGCGCCGAGCTGGTATTTGCAGGACTCGAGAACGAGGTTGATTTGAGTGTCCAAGGAGAGAGTGGGATGCGGAGTGACACCGAGAAATGTCAGGATGTTTCAGGTAACTGAATTAAGGTAGCAGCGATTGAGATTCCCAAGGGGACCGAGTGTGGAGCCAGTCTTTGCCTAGCGCCAATTAAGGTGGCCCAGGGAATTTGGTGGCGCTTAGGGAGAGGTTACATTGAAGCCGGTTGTGTAATGCGGTTGAGCAAAGAGAAAGATGGCCGACGCCCGAGATGTCGGGAGATTTAACGGCAGCGATGCCAACGTGACACTTTACTTTGCTGATTGGCCGTGTCGGGTGGTGGAGGGTTACGACACATTTATAAATAAACGCGATCTAACCCAAAAACCTTTATTATGAATAATATTGGTCGCGAAAGCCTACGTGTTAAACTGATGCCAAGAGTGTCGTCGGCATAGCAGCGTCTAGCGGATGCCGAAACTGTCGATCAGGCTAGCCAATGGGAGATGCTTAGGTGGAGAAGAGCAGGGTGGGGGGGGGGGGCCCAGGACGGAGCACTGAGGTACTCCGCATGTCAACAGAATTTCATTAGATGAATTGGCTCCCACTTGACGGAGAAACGCCTGCCGGAGAGATATGAGGAAATCCAGTTTAGTGCAGTTCCCCTGATCCTCAAGCCGGACTCGAGGAGATTGATGAAGCTATTGTTGACGTCACGCACCTAGAGGGGGGGGGGGTGGGTTGAGAAATGTGACGTCACATCAAAATACGCAACTTTAAATAAATTTAGACAAACACGTTCTACTTAATTGAATAGACTTTTTAATAAATGTTTTCTCCTACAACATCAGAGTGCAGCGCCACATTAAATACGCACTACGATGGCAACAATAGTTTAAAGCGATTTGAAGCGTGTTTTAGTTTTGGGGGGGGGGGGGGGGGGGGTGCAGAGCTTTGTGACGTCATGTTTGAGGGGGGGGGTCTGACTTTTTGTGACACCGTATGACGGTCAAAAATCGCGTGACGTCATTTATGGACGGCCCCCTTTTTTACATGATTCATTTGGGCTTCAGGGCAAAGTGCATTGGTTATTAATTTCACGTCAAAATCTTCGGTGCACGGTTAATCTGCAAACCGGAATGAACCGCACGCGAATAATCGAGAGTCGACTGTCAATAACTTGCAGCAAAATCCGCCACCAGCCAGCCTGGGTTCATAAAGTATTAAAACTTTCATGACTGCATAAAATTACTCAGTGGTTTTTTTTCGGTAAAGTCACGTATGTAGAAATACAATAAAATTATATTAAAGCAAAAAAACAATCACGACGTTTCGATCACAACGCAAGCGACCTTCATCAGGTGTCAAGAACAAATCACGGAGGTAAATACAACAAAAAGATGAGAGACGAGAATTCAACAAACCTGAAAAAAAACATTACGTGAAGCACATCCAGTCAGGCCAACAACACAGTTAGACACTTCCTGGCGGACCACGAATTTCAGAAGAGTGTTACATTTCGTGTTCAACCTTTGGATTTTGGTCCTTTTTTGAGCTGCCGTTTTGTATGTGTGTAAGATGTGCGTGTTTGAGCTGCCGCTCTCGCTCTGGCTCCTCCCCCCCTCCAACTTTATTTCCTATTTAAGCTTCTGTTCATCCCTCCAGCCCCCCCCCCCCTCTCTCTCTGCCTCCCTGTCCGTCTTTCCTCCCTCCTTACCTCTTGGTGGACTTGTATATGTATTTCTACTGACCGTGTACCTCGTATTTTTCATTCTATCTATGCTGGTATGTGCAATCCAAAGGTTGAACACGAAATTTAACACTCTTCTGAAATTCGTGGTCCACCAGGAAGTGTCTAACTGTGTTGTTGGCCTGACTGGATGTGGCTTCACATAATGTTTTTTCAGGTTTGTTGAATTCTCGTCTCTCATCTTTTTGTGTTTGTATTTACCTCCGTGATTTGTTCTTGACACCCGATGAAGATCGCTTGCGTTGTGATCGAAACGTCGTGATAGTTTTTTTGTTTTAATATAATTTTATTGTATTTCTACGCACGTGACTTTACCGAACAAAAACCTATGAGTAGCCTGGGTTCATTCGATGCCACTGGATTTTGGTGAGCGAGCACTTTCATAAATCCATGCGCATGCATCTACGATGATGATGATGATCATGATGATGATCATGATGATGATCATGATCATGATGAGGATGATGATCATGATGATGATGATGGAAACGTGCATAAGCTACCAGTTTCTCTGATGCCAATCGGGAGGTCGTTCTGCCACTGACACAACGCAGCAGGGCCACCACCACACACAATCGGTCGGGCGAATTAACCCGCCACCGCTGTCTTGCAGCTGTCGTACGTCAACGCGATGGACATCTGGATGGCCACGTGTCTCGTCTTTGTCTTCTCGTCTCTGCTCGAGTTCGCCGCGGTCAACGTGATGTCCAGACAAGCCAGGAGCCTCTCGTCCGCCAATACGAGCGGTGGCAAGGTGAAGGTATTGGGGGAAAAAAACATATTACTAATCAATTATATCATTACAATAATGTCCCTCCTCACCTCCCACCCCGGCTCGCCTCTGATTTCTGCAGCTGATGATGGGTTCAGTGATGACGTCGTCTTTCTCTATTTAAGACCGGAGGCAGGTGGATGGCTTCACTAGTCTGGCAAATCGCCCGATGATCCTGGATGTAATTGCCAGCGGAAACGGCGTGCTACTCAAATTGTGAACGTTGTGGATTCACTCTCCAAACACACCGGTGGGCTCAAGTAGTGGAACTAATTGTGCGCGTTTTGTTCACGTGACAAATCCCTTCTTACTAATTGGCTGTGTCGGTTCGTGGAGGGTCACGACAAAGTTTTACTTGCGCGACCTCACCGGAAACCCCTTTGATTGTGGACGCCACACCGTGAGGTGGGAGTCGACGTTCTGCCCACGTCCACACCTCCCTCCTCTCTCTCTCCCTCTCTCTCTCGGCCTTCTCCGTCTCTCCCGCTCGGGGTGGCGAGACACACGGCTCAGCGGTGGTGCGTTCGCCACTTCGAGACGTTCGTGGTTCCATCTGATGAGCCATGAAGCGCTTTGTCACAAATCTCCAGCCGCGGATGGAGCATGCGGCCTTCTTGTGTGATGGCCTCGTGCCGTCGTGAAATTTCGCCCGACGCGGAAATCCGATTTCGTTCATGGAAAAGTGCCCGTAATTTGCCGATTGCGCGAAACGCCAAATTTCCCCAAGCGAGCGTTCGTAGAATCGAGGGATTCCGAACGTGGTACCTGCGCAGCAAATGATACACATCGCAGCGTTAACCAGGGTGGCTGGCCGGTTTCAATCGCGTGCGCCACACTGCCGGGCCTTCGTAGCTGCTGCTGCTGCTGCTGGGCCAACAGAACCTTCCCCCGAGGGTATGTGGAGGTTACAATGGGGGATGTTTGCCTTCGTGTGCATACGCAGGCAGCGACGGGGGTCGAGTCAGCGATGCACCCCTGGAGTGCGGAGCGAATCGACCGTACTGCCCGAGTGCTTTTCCCCGCGCTCTTCCTCCTCTTCAACGTCTTCTACTGGCTCGCCTTCTGCGTGCTCAAGTGAAGGCGTCGGTTCCAGAGCCACGTGGCTACCCTGCGGCACGCCAGTCTCTCTCTCTCTCTCTCGCCGTCCCTCGCTGCTGGGCCTATACAGTCCTCGTCCGTGCTCTTCGCCACACCACCCGCATCTCTCATCCTCACTCTCTCTCTCTCTCTCATCTCTTAACTACTGGGTGACGCGGCGGTTAGGAGATGTTCAATGCCCTGACCTCAAGGCCGTAGCCATTGAGTCAACATTGGGGGTGACCAAATATTCCAGGGGGTCTGGGGGTCCACCCTCCCCCACCCTCCCCCCCTCCAGAAAAATAATAAAAATTTGAAAAAATCATTTCCTGCCATTTCCTGCCTAAAATATAACAAAAAAAATTCGCTGACACGTAGTATGATGGACTTTTTATTTATGTTTTACAATGATGTCTAATAGTTTGTTGCATTACATCGCTCTGTTTTTCCCTTTTTTTACCTTATCTTGTTTCATTGCATGTCATGGCAGAGATTAGGGATTAATAAAGTACAACCATAACCACAATCATATACACAGAAATCTATTTTATAGCAATATATTGGGGGGGGACATTTTGAGCATATTTTAATATTGGGGAGGGGGGTGTGTCCCCCCCCCAACATATATTATAATTACAGGAGGTCGTGGGTCCGATCCCAACCATATCACCTGCTGTATAATTGGAGTTTGCGTGTCTTTCTAGATTTGAAGTTTTGCTGACTGCAAGGATCAATACTCTTTGGTTCTTTCGGTAAAGTCACCACGTAGAAGGGAAACAATAAAATAAAAAAAATATAAAACAATAAAATTCTCACGACGTTTCGATTGCAACACAAGCAATCATCATCAGGTGTGACAACCACAGCAAGGACATTTTTTTTTTGCGTGCGTGTCTTGCCCCTCTCACACGTTTAGGGTCCACATCACGCGTTCAGAATGCTTGGCTACTGCTCCACATTTCTAGGCGATGATAAGGGTCGGGACCGAGCCCACGACCTCCCGCACACCAGGCGAGGGAGGTGACATCTCTCGCCAGCTCGGAGCCTCCGAATGCCATCTAAGTTCAGTTTAGATTTTTAAAGCTTTCGTGACTGCAAGGATTCACCTTCTATGGCTCTGTCGGTGAAGTCACCGCCACGTAGAATGAGAAGAAAAGAATGAAATAAAAAACGTCGTGAGAATTGTATTGTCTTATTATTTTATTATTTTATTCTCATTCTACGTGGTGACTTTACTGAAAGAACCAAAGAAGATCTAAGTTCAGCTTGTGCGGCGTTACCAAGATGAATAAATGGTTGATTTGAAGTTTCCGTGACTGCGGGAATTCATACGCTTTGGGTCTTTCGGTTAAAATCACGTAGGCAGATCAATTATAAATGACGGAGTTTCGATGGCGACACAAGCAATCGTCCGTTGCGATCTCAACGTTGTGATTCATTATTTTCCTCTCTACGTGACTTTACCGATGGACCCAAAGAGAACGAATGAATGCACGAATGAAAATGCAAATCAACAAGACCGAACGAGAAGAATAACAAACAAGAAAAAAAATCCACGGGCGTAAGACCCAACATCTCACCAGTTTTCGTTCGCTGAGCTAAGAAGGGTTTGCAGGGGGTTTTTTTTTCCCCCCTGTACGTCTGTTGAGTTCGTGTCGCATATTTCTTTGGGTCTTGCCAGTAAAGTCACGTAGGTAGAAAAAAATAATAACAATAAAAAATTTAAAAAATGAAGCTAATTAAAAAAAATACACGTAAACTAAAATCACGACGTTTCTATCACAACGCAAGCCATCGTCATCAGGAGGCGATCGCTTGCGTTGTGATCGAAACGTCGTGATATTTGTATTATTTCTCATTCACTTTACGTGACCGTTTATTATGTTATCGTTATTGTTTTATTTTTTTCCTGCTGCTATCTACGTGACTTTACCGAAACACCCAATGAATATGAATCCCTCCCCGTCGCGAAAGCTCTCAGTCACAGAATGTATCATTCACACGGCACGGGTCGGGGGGGTGGGACAGTCTGCCTGCGTAACGCACGAGAACGAGGTTCGTAGAAATGCCATGGTGGAGAAATGAAAATTGAAGGTTGCCGATTAAATTCGTTCCAGTTCCTGCCGGATTGTTCCGGATCATATTTGTTGCCTTAGCTCGCAAGATGCCCGCATGCCCACCCCCCCCCCCCCACCACTCACAGCACGCGCCTCCAAGCGTGTGACGAGGTGTCACAACACAAAGACAAAGATCACCCTCCCACCCGGTGTAGCCTCTAACAGGCTGTTGGGGCAAGTGCTGTTAGTAGCGAGTAGCAGCAGCAGCAGCGCCTATGAAGGTAGACACGGGGTTTGGTTGGAGCCTTGGGTCTGGGTGTCTCTCTCAGTCTCAGGTGAAGGGTGAGGTCAGTAATGGCCGTGTCAGACACCCCGAGATTCCGGGTTCGAGCCCTGGGTCTGGGTGTCTCTCTCAGTCTCAGGTGAGGTGAGGTTGGTAATGGCCGTGTCAGACACCCCGAGATTCCGGGTTCGAGCCCTGGGTCTGGATGTCTCTCTCACTCTCAGGTGAGGTTGGTAATGGCCGTGTCAGACACCCCGAGATTCCGGGTTCGAGCCCTGGGTCTGGGTGTCTCTCTCAGTCTCAGGTGAGGTCAGGTTGGTAATGGCCGTGTCAGACACCCCGAGATTCCGGGTTCCAGCTCTGGGTGTCTCTCTCAGTCTCAGGCGAGGGGTGAGGTTGGTAATGGCCGTGTCAGACACCCCGAGATTCCGGGTTCGAGCCCTGGGTCTGGGTGTCTCTCTCAGTCTCAGGCGAGGGGTCAGGTTGGTAATGGCCGTGTCAGACACCCCGAGATTCCGGGTTCGAGCCCTGGGTCTGGGTGTCTCTCTCAGTCTCAGGCGAGGGGTGAGGTTGGTAATGGCCGTGTCAGACACCCCGAGATTCCGGGTTCGAGCCCTGGGTCTGGGTGGCTCTCTCAGTCTCAGGTGAGGGGTCAGGTTGGTAATGGCCGTGTTAGACACCCCGAGATTCCGGGTTCGAGCCCTGGGTCTGGGTGGCTCTCTCAGTCTCAGGTGAGGGGTCAGGTTGGTAATGGCCGTGTTAGACACCCCGAGATTCCGGGTTCGAGCCCTGGGTCTGGGTGGCTCTCTCAGTCTCAGGTGAGGGGTCAGGTTAGTAATGGCCGTGTCAGACACCCCGAGATTCCGGGTTCGAGCCCTGGGTCTGGGTGTCTCTCTCAGTCTCAGGCAAGGGGTAAGATTGGTAATGGCCATGTCAGACACCCCGAGATACCGGGTTCGAGCTCTGGGTGTCTCTCTCAGTCTCAGGCGAGGGGTGAGGTTGGTAATGGCCGTGTCAGACACCCCCAGATTCCGGGTTCGAGCTCTGGGTGTCTCTCTCAGTCTCAGGCGAGGGGTGAGGTTGGTAATGGCCGTGTCAGACACCCCGAGATTCCGGGTTCGAGCCCTGGGTCTGGGTGTCTCTCTCAGTCTCAGGTGAGGGGTCAGGTTGGTAATGGCCGTGTTAGACACCCCGAGATTCCGGGTTAGAGCCCTGGGTCTGGGTGTCTCTCTCAGTCTCAGGCAAGGGGTAAGATTGGTAATGGTCGTGTCAGACACCCCGAGATTCCGGGTTCGAGCCCTGGGTCTGGGTGTCTCTCTCAGTCTCAGGCGAGGGGTGAGGTTGGTAATGGCCATGTCAGACACCCCGAGATGCCGGGTTCGAGCTCTGGGTGTCTCTCTCAGTCTCAGGTGAGGTGAGGTTGGTAATGGCCGTGTCAGACACCCCGAGATTCCGGGTTCGAGCCCTGGGTCTGGGTGTCTCTCTCAGTCTCAGGTGAGGGATGAGGTTGGTAATGGCCATGTCAGACACCCCGAGATGCCGGGTTCGAGCTCTGGGTGTCTCTCTCAGTCTCAGGCGAGGTTCGCAATGGGCGCGTTGAGATGCGCTGCTGAGCCAGCAACGGTGACAATCCTGGGCTGACGTCACGCGCCTGGCTGAGTCCGCTGACTCATCAAGTGTCAGATTTCACGCCACCCCCTCGCTGGGTCAAACAGTCACAGTGACAGGTGACACTGTGACAGGTGTCACTGTGACAGGTGACACAGTGACACCTGTCACAGTGACACCTGTCACTGTGACAGGTGTCACTGTGACAGGTGTCACTGTAACAGGTGTCACTGAAACAGGTGTCACTGTGACAGGTGTCACTGTGACAGGTGTCACTGTAACAGGTGTCACTGAAACAGGTGTCACTGTGACAGGTGTCACTGTGACAGGTGTCACTGTAACAGGTGTCACTGAAACAGGTGTCACTGTGACAGGTGTCACTGTGACAGGTGTCACTGTGACAGGTGTCACAGTGACAGGTGTCACAGTGACAGGTGTCACTGTGACAGGTGTCACTGTGACAGGTGTCACTGTAACAGGTGTCACTGAAACAGGTGTCACTGTGACAGGTGTCACTGTGACAGGTGTCACTGTGACAGGTGTCACTGAAACAGGTGTCACAGTGACAAGTGTCACTGTGACAGGTGTCACTGTGACAGGTGTCACTGTAACAGGTGTCACTGAAACAGGTGTCACTGTGACAGGTGTCACTGTGACAGGTGACACTGTGACACGTGAGACTGTAACAAGTGACACTGTAACAGGTGTCACTGTGACAGGTGTCACTGTAACAGGTGACACAGTTACAGGTGTCACTGTAACAGGTGACACTGTGAGACCTGTCACTGTGTCACCTGTCACTGTAACAGGTGTCACTGTAAGAGGTGTCACTGTGACAGGTGTCACTGTGACAGGTGTCACTGTAACAGGTGTCACTGTAACAGGTGACACAGTGACAGGTGACACTGTGACAGGTGACACTGTGACAGGTGTCACTGTGACACTGTGACACGTGACACTGTAACATGTGACACTGTAACAGGTGTCACTGTGACAGGTGATACAGTGACAGGTGACACTGTGATACTGTGACACAATGACAGGTGTCACTGTAACAGGTGTCACTGTGACAGGTGGCACCTGTCACAGAGACACCTGTCACAGTGACAGGTGTCACTGTGACAGATGTCACTGTAACAAGTGACACTGTGATACTCTGACACTATGACACGTGACACTGTAACAGGTGTCACTGTAACAGGTGTCACTGTAACAGGTGTCACTGTGACACCTGTCACTGTAACAGGTGACACTGTAACAGGTGACACAGTTACAGGTGTCACTGTAACAGGTGACACAGTGAGACCTGTCACTGTGTCACCTGTCACTGTAACAGGTGTCACTGTAACAGGTGTCACAGTGACAGGTGACACTGTAACAGGTGTCACTGTAACAGGTGTCACAGTGACAGGTGACACTGTAACAGGTGACACGGTGACAGGTGTCACTGTAACAGGTGTCACTGTGACAGGTGTCACTGTAACAGGTGTCACTGTAACAAGTGACACAGTGACAGGTGTCACTGTAACAGGTGTCACTGTAACAGGTGTCACTGTGACAGGTGTCACTGTGATACTGTGACACTGTAACAGGTGTCACTGTAACAGGTGACACTGTAACAGGTGTCACTGTAACAGGTGTCACTGTGACAGGTGTCACTGTGATACTGTGACACTGTAACAGGTGTCACATTGACAGGTGACACAGTGACACGTGACACTGTAACAGGTGTCACTGTGACACGTGTCACTGTAACAGGTTTCACTGTATCAGGTGACACTGTAACACGTGACACCGTAACAGGTGTCACTGTAACAGGTGTCACTGTGACACTGTGTCACCTGTCACTGTAACAGGTGTCACTGTAACAGGTGTCACAGTGACACGTGACACAGTGACAGGTGACACTGTAACAGGTGTCACTGTGACAGGTGTCACTGTAACAGGTGTCACTGTAACAGGTGTCACAGTGACACTGTGTCACAGTGTCACGTGTCACTGTGACACTGTCGCCTGCTGCTGTATATTTGGAGTTTGTGCGTCTTTCTCTCTCCGTGGTTCCGTCGATTGCTGTTCTCTGATTCCTCCGATTTCTTCCACTCCACTTTTTGAATCGACATCGCCACGCGTTTAGAGCGCGTGGCTGCTTGCTGTGAATGTCCACGTGGTATCATTGGTGATGGGCCAGGTCGCTTGTGAACAAAGAGCGCCAGAGCAGCAGCTCACTGGGGTAAGGATACAAGTGAGTTTATTGGGTAGTCTATAGGATTAAAAGCACGGCTGCTGATTTCATTCATTTCATTTCATTTATTTGGTACAGCCCTGTGAGCCATTCGGCTCTTGAATCTGGTGCAACCGCAACAAACAAACAAAAAACATGAACAAGAAAACATCTTAAAGTGACTTTGTGTTGACTGTGCAAACAGAAAATACAGGAAAAAAATATCAAAATATTTCAGAAAAAGCACCGTACACCAACGCTGTGTGCAAAAATCCCAGTGGGATGCAAGTCAAAATAACAACAACAACAACCACAAGACAACTAAGATTAAGGCCATCAGTCTAACTCCGTACTACAATAAACAAAAAAACATGGCCAAAACAAAAAAAACTTTTCGAAATCACCAAAATAAAAGCCATAAATACAATGTAACAGTGATCATAGGGACTGTGACCGAATTTTTAACAATAAACTACATAAATAAATTATAACACCAAAATCTAGAGCCATATTTTAGGCCACTGAATAGCAGTGGCAGCTAGGGGTGTACAACTCCTCTAGAGCAGTTTTGAGTGAAGATCTCATTGGTAGCGATTCAAGTTGTAGTTTATTGGCAATAGCATTCCAGACCCTGGGGGCATCAATAGCAAAGGCCCTTCCTCCGGTTTTTGTACGGCAATAGGGGAATGTGTAGCTGGTAAATGAGCGAAGACCTGAGGTCAAATTTGTTCTTTGAAACAGAGAGGAGATCCAGCAGCAGGTAGTCTGCTGATTTTGTTTGTAAGTACATCGTGAATAAATAAGATCTGGTGCACAAGCCGTCGAACATTAAGAGATGTTAAGTTTGACCACCCAATGTAGAGATCACAGTGGTGAGTCCTCTATGGGCAGTCCAATGATGATGGCTATGAGAAGAGTTGTCACGATCGTTCGGCAATGTGTTGCTCTCTGTGTGTGCGTCTTGGTGAGAAATACCACGGGGATCACCTCCACCTCATCCTCCTCCACCTCCTCCACCTCCTCCACCCCCTCCACCTCCTCCTCCACCCCCTCCACCTCCCTCCTCCACCCCCTTTCTCCCTCCTCCACCCCCTCCTCCACCCCTTTACCCCCTACTCCACACCCTCCTCCTCCACCTCCTCCACCCCCTCCTCCACCCCCTCCTTCACCCCCTCCCCCCTCCTCCACCCCCTCCCCCCTCCTCCACCCCTCCCCCTCCTCCATCCCCTGCCCCCTCCTCCACCCCTCCCCCCTCCTCCACCCCTCCCCCCTCCTCCATCCCCTCCCCCCTCCTCCACCCCTCCCGCCTCCTCCACCCCTCCCCCCTCCTCCATCCCCTCCACCCCCTCCCCCCTCCTCCACCCCTCCCCCCTCCTCCACCCCTCCCCCCTCCTCCACCCCTCCCCCCTCCTCCACCGCCTCCCCCCTCCTCTACCCCTCCCCCCTCCTCCACCCCTCCCCCCTCCTCTACCCCTCCCCCCTCCTCCACCCCCTCCTCCACCCCCTCCTCCTCCCTCCTCCACCCCCTTTCTCCCTCCTCCACCTCCTCCCCCCTCGTCCACCCCCTCCCCCCCCCCCTCCCCCCCTCCCGCGTGATGATCTCTGGCCACAGAGAGGCGACTCACAGAGAGGCGACTCACAGAGAGGCGACTCGCAGAGAGGCGACTCACAGAGTGGCGACTCACAGAGAGGCGACTCACAGAGTGGCGACTCACAGAGAGGCGACTCACAGAGAGGCGACTCACAGAGTGGCGACTCACAGAGAGGCGACTCACAGAGAGGCGACTCACAGAGAGGCGACTCGCAGAGAGGCGA